CCAGCCACTAGAGGGCTCTAGAAGGAGGAATAACTTGTTCTTAAATCAGTCCCAGTTCTAGGACCTCATCTCTACACCCGAAACTCAATGAAGTCTGTAAGTTAAAGGAGATTCTTTTTCATGCACATTTTGTTTAAATACAGCTCTTGTTGTCTTAAAATCATCAGGAGGCAGGAGAGTGAAGCAGAAATTGAATCTAGACCTACTCTGCCATGTTCAGACCAGGAGACAGAAAACTAGGAACAGTGGGGTAAGTCTGGCCCACTGCCTGTTTTACCAATAAAGTTTTATTCAATCATGGCCCATTTGTTTAAAATCATCTATGTCTGCTTTTTCTCTACAAAAGCTGAGGTAAGTAGTGGTAACAGAGACCATGTGGCTCATGAAGTAAAAAATATTTAACTACAACTTATCTCGAAGAATTATTCAGAGTCAATCCATTTTAGCATTGACATCTGCTCAATAATGTGAATGGCACATCTCCATATCCTCTCATTCACAAGAGGCCCAAAGATGCCTCTGGGAAGTCTTTTTAAATAAGGCTCTATTAGCTATTTAGTGATTCCAATGGCCAAAATCAGAACACCAACAGCACCAAAAACTGGCAGGGATATAGAGCAACAGGAACTCGCATTCATAAATAGTGAGAATACAAAATGGTACAGAGACCTTGGAAAATAGTTTGATAGTTCTTGAAAAGCTAAACCTATAGAATTTAGCAATCAGGCTCTTTGGCATTTACCCAAATAAGTTGAAAATTTATGTCCACATGAAAATCCACACACAGTAACATTGCTCAAACTTGGAAGCAACCAAGTTTTCCTTCAGTAGGTGAATGGATAAATGAACTGTGGTACATCAGACAATTGATTACTACTTAATGCCAAAAAGAAATGAGCTATTGAGTCAGGAAAATACATGGAAGAAGTATAAATACATATTACTAAGTGAAAGAAGCTAATATGAAAAAACTACATGCTGTATAATTCCAACTATGATATTCTGGAAAGATCAAAACTACGAAAACACAAAATGATCCATGGTTTCTAAGGATTAGGTGATAGTGATAAATGATTTTTATGACAGTTAAACAATTCTGTATGATACTTTAATAGTGAATACATGTTACTATACATTTGCCCCAACTCACAGAATATACACCAAGAGTGAGCTCCAATGTAAACTATAGACCGTGGATAATTAAAATGTATCCATGCGCACATCATTTATAATAAATATAGCACTCCAAAGAGAAATGTTAATAACTGCGAGGCCATACATGTCAGAGGGAAGAAGGCAGATGGGAAATCCTTGTACATCCCCCTCAATTTTGCTGTGAACCTAAACTTCTCCAAAAGTAAAGCCTATTTTTTTTTAAAAAAAGAAAGAAAACAAAGGGGGGTGGGGACAAAAAACAAAAAACCAACTCTATCAGTCAGTGACATTGTGAAGGTCATTAAGGGTTGTTTAGAAGCTGTTCTAGCTCATTTCACCTTCTAGACACTGGGTAGAATTGCATTTCCTTGCTATTAGGCAGGACCTTGGGACAGCTTCTGACCAGTGAATTTTAAGCAGAAGTGACATGCATCACTTCCAAGTTAAGCAAGACTTTCCAAGGCTCTCTTTCCCTTGGCTCAACAGCTGGCAAAATAAAGCTGATGGCTGCCCTGAGTGACAATGACAAGCAGAGTCCCCCAGCTGACCTCAGGTGGACAAAACAGAGCAAGGAAGTCTTTCTTACAGTAAGCCACTGAGCTTTGGAGGTTGTCCTCAGCAAAATCTAGCTGACCTTGACAGATTCAGAGGTGACCAACAACTACAAAGTACTATCACGTTTTCAAAACCATGGATTCTCTCTATCCTGCCTTCCGATGCAATCATAGATAAAGCATAAGCCATATGGCATTTAAGGAAGGATAGTGGATCCAGGCATGAATCTTAATCTTCACACACCAATCTCTTAAATATCCAAGCAGTCTAAGCACTTCATCCAAGGAAACCATTACCCAAATCTCAGTTTTCCATTCTGTTTTGCAGTACCTCAAAACTGCAGAATCTCTCACTTTCTTCCCCCAAAGAACTCTCTTATTCCTGCCTGTCTGCCAGGCCATTTAGGGTTCACCTTCAAGTAGTGTCTAGCCTCCCTGGGGGAGAAAAGTCCTTTTCCCTCCATGAGAAATGTACCCCCCCCCCCAGTAGAGACGCTTTTGTCCCTTCCTCAGTGAGCATAGAATTTGAATGATTCCACTCAATTAAATATCTGGGAAAGGATTTTGAAACTGCCTCCCTAAGGTGAAAATGTTTCTCTCTCTGTAAATCATCATCATCATTTCTGCTAATATTCAAGCAACTCTATACTATCTATCTTGTTTTCTTTCTCAACTGGTTCAGAAGCCAAGTTATGTATTGGGGCCCTGCTACCCCAACAAAGGCCAGCTGGTGTCTTCTCAGGAAGTCTTTGTAACAACAGGTCAATGGCTGTGCATCATCCCTTTGCTGTGAGGAGGGTCACGTGTACAGTGGTCAACTTGGAGAGTAGGATACATGCCCGGGTGCAGCCTAGCACGGGTCTCCTTCTTCTGTGACCCCCTCCTCACAGTGGAAGTGTGCGGAGTAACCCAACTGAAGACCCTGTTCCTCACACAACATCAACACATTCTCCACCTATGTCCACCAACGCTCCAGAGCAGCCTCGACCTCCACAGCAGGCTTTCCATCCAACTGCAGAAAATTCCTCTTCCTCTGCACTACCACCTTCTTCTACTCTTCTTGTCCTCCTCTCACAACCTAAAATCTCTCTCTGCAGTACTGAGGCAGAACCAAGTGTGTGTCTACTTGGGAAAGATAAAATATATATATACAGGAAAATATGCCCTGGAATTGCCCTTGCAATGACACATGATGCCTGGCAGTTGCATCCCTTGGACTTGTGATTCTGACCCCTTTCCGGGGCTTCCTGGTTGATACACAGAGCTGCAGTTCTGATCAAGCCATGGAAATTACTTCTGAGATTTATAAGCAGTGGCTGACTGATCCCTAGATCCCAATGACTACTTTCAGAGATCTCAACAAATCTGGGAGCTGGTACAGGTCCAATGCACAGCTTTCTGATTGTTAAAAATAATCTGGAATCTTTCAGTTTACCTACTTCCTCATAAAATCAGTTTGGTCACCAAATCTTACTGCCATGTCGCTCAAGATTTTTTTTTTTTCAATTTTCATTCCTTCTATTCTTTTTCAGGTCCTTGGCTCTCTGAATGGTAGACATTACTTACCCCTCCTCCTCTCCCACCTGGTGTCCATCCTTGCAGGCCATTGCTATGGTGACACGGTGAAACATCTGCCCATCTACCTGCCTCTCAGGACTGATCAGCAAAGGAGTAAAAGTGTGGATGTTGGCGTCAAGATGCAAGTCCTGAGTCTGCTAATAACTATCAAGGGAAGTCCTTCGACCACTCCAGGCTGTACTTTCCTCATCCCTCACTGAGAACACTAATGGTGCCCACCTCATGGTGTTTGGGAGTACTAATGGAATAAGGCATATAAAGCTCTTTCATGGTGTTCTGGCATCCAGTAAGCACTCAAGTAATGTTTATTATAATGTGTTCTAAACATTTAAGACCCTGAAAATTCTGGTTATAGAAGACCTTTCCTACCAATCCACACAATGGATGCAATTTCTTCATCCAAGAGCCCTTACTCTATGGTCTCTAGGAAGGATGCTCCTATGACATAGACCCCTCACCCAAAATATTGGAACTTTATTGTTATCTCTAGCACCCTAGTCTCTAAAATGTAAAAAGAAGAGTAAGGATTTCATATATTTTCTCACAAAACTTTTCATTAGGAAGCAATACTCTAACCCATGGAAATGGTAGGCTACTTTCTAAAACAAGTATGTTTTGAGGTCTAATTATTTTTACTTCTAGGAATGAAGGCTACCCTTTCCAAGATAAAATATGCAGCCACTTTGAATGCCCACACTTCACCAGAAGGGGGAGTGTCTGCATAAAATAGGAAGCTCTAGCACTCATTCATAATGGGACAGTTTTGTTCCAGAATTCATCATCCAGTGACACTATTTTCTTCATAATTACCAGAAACCCAGAAGATGAAAGCACCTCAGATCTTGCAATTCTTCATCAATATTTGTCATATCATTGCCTGTGCTTACTATTATTATCAAAAGGATTTCTTCTGTGATTTGCACAGGATCTAAACCCTAATGCAGACTAGAATATCTGAATTATCTGAATTCCAAGTGGGTGATGATTCCTAAGCATGCTTCATTTTATTCCACATAGCCTTAAGAGCACAGATTCTGCACCCAGGATGCTTGAATTTAAATCCCAGCTCTGACACTAGTCATGTGTAAGATGCTCAATCACTCAATCTCTGTGCCTCAGTTCCCTCATCTATAATATGGGAACAACCATAGAACCTATCTCCTAGGTTACTGTGAAAAGTAAATGAAGTCAATATATACATGATGCCTAGAACACTGCTTGGTACATAGTGAGTACTATGCAATTTGGTTCTCCTACCACGATGACTCTGTACTTACCATCCTGAAACATCTCAGACAAGGAAAAGAGGAGCAGGCACTAAATCCTATCATCTTGGAAGCAGTGTGAAAAACAGAACTTTGCCAATGGATTCTGCTCCACTTGAAGTCAATGCTTCCATCCACAGGAGGAAAAGAAGCAACACCAAATTCAAAATTGGCAAGGATGATTTATTTAAGAGTGGTTAAAAACCCTTAAGTAGGAGAAAACGTGTAGCTCTGTAACTGTTGACCATTCCTAGACCATTCCCCACACTATTGAGATTGTTATTGACAGAGGATATCTGGGTGTCCTTGACAGTGCTCAGATAAATTGCTCTGCTACCTGAAACAGTCTACCTATGTGTTACAAATATTCTTGCTTCACGTGAGTTCCTCAGTTCCTGCAGTAAGAATACCTTCTCATCTCTCTTTCATAAATGTCTACCCACATTACCTGAGTTCGTTTTTATGAATTTCCATGATTTTTCTTTCGAGCTTCTGTGACTGCTTGGGGAAGATCTCAAACTCACTGATGTAATTCTCAGGATGCTCATCAGGATCATAATCACCAAGCTCAGCTGTAACCAGTAAAGGTGAAGAAAAAGAGAAAGATTAGAAACAACAGCATGGGGGCTGGGGTTGTCGCTCAGTGGTTATAGCTCAGAGCACTTGCCTAGCACGTGTGAGGCACTGGGTTCGATTTCAGAACCTCATATAAATAAATAAAATAAAGGTCCATTGACACCAAAACAAACAAACAAACAAAAAACCCCAGCATGGTTGGGGTGCATGTGGAATGTCTCATTCATCCAAAAGAAGATCCTGGAATAAACTCATGCAATCCTTATTTGTACCCATGGAAAGCCCACAGCCTGGGTATCTAGAGACTTGTGTTCAGGTTTCAGTCTAGCTCTATGAGCTTTGGCACTTATCACACTACTCTGGGTCTTGTTTTCTTCATCTGTATACTGAAGCAATTTAAAGGATTATTTCTTGATGGGGGCACTGCTGGCATTTGGAGGACTGAACAGTTTTATTGTTTCAGATTTCCCAAGGAATTGTAGGACATTTGACAACTCAACCCTTCAGACACTGAATGTTGGTAACACACTCACTGTGACCATCAAGAACACCACTCCCCAGAAGGTAGCCAGAGGGTATAAGACTGCAGTTAGGAGGAATATGTTCAAGAAGTCTACTCTACAACAAGGTGACAGCAGTTAATAACAATGTCTAGTACACTTGAAAACCTCTAAAGGAGCAGACTTTAAGTGTTCTTATCCTCACCACAAAAAGTATAAATATGTGAGATAATGCATATAGTAGCTCAGTTTAACCATTCTATAATATATGCATATTTCAAAACAGAATTTTGTACACTGTAAATATGCAAAATTTTGTCCATTAAAAATTTAATTTTTTTAAACTAAATGCCTCTCTGATATATCTAGGAAGTAGCTATCCTGGGAAACTTCCTCAAGATTCTCTTCACAGTTAATAGTCTCCAAGACCAAGAATCCCCTGGCTGGGGCTGCCAGCTCTGAGGTTTGTGAAGTGTGTGACTCATTCAATGACAAAAAAACACACACACAACATGAAGAAATCGAAGGAGAGTGCATTTAAACACAAACGGATTGCTCTTCAAACAACAGCATCCACCTGAGTAGTGAAAGAGCATTTGGGATTAAGGCTGTTGCAGCATTCTAATGCAGGCATCTCTGGAGAATCTTTAAGGGGAAAAAGAAATGCCTGCCCATCTCCAAGTGTCCTGAGGATCTAATAGAAGTGGGTGTATAGCCTATGGCCCAGAGAAATCAAGGCTATGTCTGGCTGTAGAAATACTTTCTACTGATTCCACAAGCTTGCTAAGGAAAATAAATAAGTATCTCAGACAGAAATAAAGAATATAGTCCAGGAAAGTAAACTAAAGATAGTATGTTTGTCAACGTGATCACAGCAGGACTTTGAAGTGGAAAAAAAAATCTGTATGCTTTCAGCACATTTGAAAAATCACACCAACTCCATAATATCTATCTACTGTTCTATCAATGTCAAATCAGCTAATGACAGTAAAAGGACAAAACCAGAGGAAAACAAAGCTCTTTAAAAGCTTCTTAATATAATTCAACTTGTACACTTCTTAAAACAATCTAGGATGCATATATACAGCCTGAGGAAGAATTTTAAAAATAAGATCCAAAATACCATTGATCATGGGGGGGGGGTGGAATTGATCAATTTGATCAAATCAAAATTGATTTATTTCTGGTCACTAAAAGACATCATACTGATGAATCAAGAGGTGTCGATTTGAAAAAATATGTTTGCAAAATCTGAAGTTGACAAGGGCTAGTCTCTAGAAGAAAGAACAAATCTGGGCAAATCAATGAGAAAATAGACTGGAAGACCAACAGAGAAACGGTCAAAGGATATGAACAGGCAATTCACAGACAGGGACATGCAAAGGGCTAGTGTATGGAGAAATGCCCAAATTCATTAGTAATAAGAGCTATGCAAACCAAAACAAGATGTCACACAAATACCATTGCCAAGAAATTAGGAAGTTGGCAGAAACATGAGAAAACAGAAACATTTATGCACTTCTGGGGCTTCTCATCAATACATGCAATTCTTCTAGAGAGCAAGGTGGGAGTATTTAGCCAAATATTATGACTCAGAAATCCCTCTTCTGGGCATATATCCTAGAACAGCTCTGGGCGCAAGAAAGGATATGTTCAACGGTTTTTATCACAACATCAATCATGATCATCATAAGTGGGAAGCAACTTGGGTGTTCATTGTTTGTGGGACTGATAAGTAAAACACCGGAGATGCACCCTACAGGACACACTGGTGATTAGAAGCCACAAGACATGTTCCTAGCAACACAGAGAGATCTCCAAAATAGTATTCTAATCATAAAGGAAAGAAATCAAATGAGTTCTAGAGCCCCATTTAACTAATGAAATTTAAAAGTATAGACACACAGAGCAATATTAATCATTTTACAAAGTTATATGCAAAGACATATGTGAACCCAGTTGTCACCTTTAGAAAAGGAAATGGAGAATAGTGGAAAAAGGTTAAGTGGATCAATCAATAAATAACCCAAAGGGACCAATGATGAGAGTGGACCAAGAACTCATGATTAACTCAACATAAGTTCCAAAAGAAGTACACCTAAGCTGTGGAGTTGGCTGTGGACCTAAAAATTTAGGAAATGGTACACCAAATGCTCCCATTTCCCATAGGTAATGAGGTAATGGACCCAATGTGAAACTAAGTTGTTTTCAATGCTTGCAGAGTGCTTGGTGAGAAGGGGCCTTGTTGATGGGGTGCATTTCTATTTCCAGGAAAATTTTTGAGATACAATAGACTTGTAGAACTACATTCTGCAAATAAGTAGCCTGGAAAATGCCATAAAACTTAGAGAATAAATGCCATGGAGAGCATAGGGTTGCCTCCCTATCACAGATGCTGTTCCCTCTTCCCCTAAAGCTTGTCTTTAAGTTTGACTTCAGCACAGTCTTTTAGTGAATAAGGACTTGTCACTACTCATATCAAGAAGAGGGAGCCACTTGTAGTTCTCTCTTCTCCACACGACATTAAGGGTGAAGTTGTATCAGAAGACACAGCACACTGGATGGCCAGAGGTTTAAAACAGGCCCTAGCACTTTGCAAATTTAACTGCCAGAAGAACCCAAAGAATCTGAAGGAAAAGGATGAGTAAGAGGCCTGGGGTTGTGGTTCAGCAGTACAGCGCTCGTCTAGCACATGCGAGGCGCTGAGTTCGGTCCTCAACACCACATAAAAAATTTAAAAAAAAAAAGGGGGGGGTGAGTAAGATCTGGTGATGGTAAGGATAATGTGGGATGGCATTTTCCCCAGTTGGGAAAAGACTCATTCCAAAAGAACTCCAGATACAGGACAATAAAGTTTCAGAGTCAGCTCCTTCTGGAATCTTCCCTGACCCCCTTGCTGAGCCAGAACCCTCCTGAGGGCACTATAGCAGGAACCAACCCACGTGTCCCTCCATGTAGTCATCAGAACATCGGCACAATGGTCTGCTTACTTGCCTGCCTGCCTATAAGTACTCTGTACTGCAGTGCCTGACACCCAGCAGCTATTCAATAATTGTTTGGAGGACACATGAATGAGGTAGTAAATACCTTCCCAACAGGCAGTTGCTCAATCTTTCCCAAGTGTAGAGGGAAAGCACATGTCAGAGCAATTGAGCGAAGTATCCTGGCTCATTCGACAGATTTCATGGAGAATCTCCAGTGTGCAAGACACAGGAAAGCTGCAATAAAGAGGCATCCCAAGTCTTGCTCCTATGGAATTAGATTCTACATAGAGAATCTAGAATGCCCCCTGCCCCAATAGGCCCACAGGTTAAGTACATGATCATCCGCTTGGTGGTACTGGGAGGTAATGGAGATGTTAAGAGATAGGACCTAGTAGGAGTTCTTTAGATCACTGGGGTGTATTCTCAAAGGGGACTGTAGGACATCAGTTTCTATCACTTTCTTTTGCTCCTGGGTTTCCTCAGCCGCATGCTTCCACCATGATGTGCTGCGACAAGCCCAAAGCAATGAGGCCAAATGACCTTGAACTGTAGCCTCTAAAACTATGAGCCAAGGTAAACCTCTTCTCTTTATAAGCTGATTACCTCAAGCATTCTTTAATAGTATCAGAAAACTGACTAACATAGGAAGAAACACAATAAGCCCCAAAACAACTCAGCAAGAAAACTTCAGGTATGTGTGCTTACCAAACAGGGGTATGGGACAACCAAATAGAGGTATGGGAAAGAACCATGGACAGAAGGGAGGCTGCTTTATGTTAAGTGGACCAAAAAAGACTTAGAGGAAGGAGTAGCTGCACTGAGTCCTGAGTAACTAGTAGGAGCCGAAATATCCACTGGGACTCACACAGCAAGAAGAGATAAGATCAATATTTACTTGGTGCTCTTTTGTAGAATGAATAGGAAAACAAAAAATGTTCCCAAGAAAGAATAAAAATAGATTCCAAGGATTATGTATGTTTGTTTTGCAAATTGTATTATGAAAAGACATCCATTTTGCATGCATTGACTATGTTCCTTGGATTCAGGTAACAAAACTACAGGTAACAAAACTCTAGAAGACTGACTGTTTTCTATACACTCAGAATACCCTGAAGCTTAACACACACTCCTTAAACAGGCATTAGAATATCACATAACCTCCCACTTTCTAGTCAGTGACTCTACCTTCCTTATTACTCTGCATGAATAAGTGGTTCTGACAAAGCCCATCTTTATCTGCATTTGTTAGTGACCTCCGGAGCTACTTAAATATTCAGTCTAAGCACCAGAGAACTCAGCTTTTACTGAACTTGCTACAAATGACCCAGGGGCTGTACTGCATTTTAGAGACAAAAGGTTCTTTCAAGGTCTGTCAGTCCATTTCCAACTCTACTTTCCTAGCCACGTCTGTGTGTGTGGTCAATGATAATAGCAATAAAAGATGAAATAGGGCCGTGCTCATCTGGATGGAACTTTTGTGGCTTCATTTGAAATATAAAACAGGATGGAGAGCTTTCCATTATAGATCTACATTGAGCATGCCCTTGGAGAATTGACAGTAATTCACTAATGCCTAAATACATTCTGAAATCCTCCGATGCTAGTCTATTGCTTGGATTAGTATCGATTCCCTTTTCCTTCCCCGAGACAGTGCACCTGAACCAGAAGTGCACCATCTTCACCACGAAGGAATACAAATGTGAGGTTTTAACAGACCTTCACTCTGGGGTAAAAGAAGTGGCTTTCTCAAGCACATTCTCCACCTCACAGCCCATGGGACTACTTCCCACCACAGAATCACTCTAGTTATGAGCACTTTAAACTGGAAAATATCCAAAGGATCTAACACTTCTTCCAATGTTTGCTACACAGCACTAGGATGCTCCAAGGGAAGGGAAAAAGCAACACACAGCACACTCCCCAAAGTATATGTTTGGAAAGCATAACCCCCAATACAGCGAGGTTCAGAGATGGAGCTTTTAAGCAGTGACTAGATCATGGAGGCTGTAACCTTATTAGTGGATTAATAAAGAATGTACTACTGAATGGTAGCTATAAGCAGGCATGGCATGGCTGAAAGAAGTAGGTTGCTGGAGGCATGTGCTTGGGGACTACACCTTGTATCTTGTCCCTGACTTCTCTCTGCCCCTGTCACCGCTCTGGCTGCCATGAGCTGACAGCCTTCCTCTGCCACACCCTTCCACCATGATGTTCTGCCTCACCTCAGGCCCAGAGCAATGGAGTCTGCTGACCATGGACTGAGACCTCTGAAACAAAAAAGAACTTGGAGGATCCCAAAATAAACTTCTCCTCCTCTAAGTTGTTCTTTCAGGTTTTGCAGACTAACACCCAACACTCATTTCAGAATACTTAGAGAACAGATACACCTGGGAATAGGGTCAAAGGAAGAATTTCACAGCACAGGACGTCCCATGAGCACAGAGGTGGGCCACAATGAGATCCCCAGGAGAAGGACAGAGTCTCTCTTAAGCACTGAATGAAATCTGGCCTTGTGACAGGTAGATGATTGTCACCTATGTTATTCTTTCTAGATCCATCATAAACTGACACACTCAGGCACTAATCTCTCTCTCTCTCTCTCTCTCTCTCTCTCTCTCTCTCTCTCTCTCTC